AAAAAATAATAAAATAAAATCATACTACTTTTAATCAGAGTTGGTCCCTTGAAGCCCAGAGTGGCCGGAGGAGGGATGTTTTGCTCAGTATACATGATGGATGAAGTACTGACCACAATGGATTTGCAGCAAGGCCGCCACCTGGTCCACTGACAGCAGTGACATCCTTTTTGCTGGCCTCATGAGGCTTGGACAGTACCTGGGAGAGAAGAAAATCAGTGAGCACCCTGAGGAAAGGTGCTGTGGGATCCGGCGTGCTGCTGCTGCCTTTCCCTGTGTGTGTGGGGGCGGGGGGGCATTTTTGTGCCGTGAGGGCGGGATAATCTGCATGGAAGCACAAGAGGAGAAGGAAAGAAAATGGGCTCTGACTGGAGTCCTGCTCCCCCTGGGCGTCCGAGTGTCTGCTCCTCACCCCGTTCCTCCAGGTAGTAGAGCCATGAGTATTCAGAGAGCTGAGTCTTCGGGGAAGAATTGCCTTATAACTTACAAGATTGGGATCAGCCCTGAGGAAAAGAAGTATAGAAATTTTCCTTAAAGTGGTGAAAAGGAAGTAAAAAAGCATATAACTGAAAGGAAAATTGTCAGTCCTGGCATGAAACTCCTCTGTGTGTGTTCTAATCCTGGGTGTGATCTTGTCTGTTAGGAAGTCGGCTTGGCCCTGAGGACATTATTGGCCACCGTGGATGAGACCATTCCCGTCCTGCCAGCCAGCACTCACCGAGAGGTAGGACATGGCCTCTCCCTTCCGGCTCTCTGACAGATGGGGACACACCCAGGGGCAGGCTGGTGGTCAATCCTGAGTGCAGTTGGTGGGGGATGATTGTGCTGCTGAGACGGCTCCTCATTCTGTGACCAGCCAAGCCTGCTTTGACAAGTCTGCAGGTCATGACCTTTTAGCTAACGCTGACCCCGGCCAAGCCCCAGGTCCGGGATGTCCAGGGGATGTGGCTTGCCTGCCAGGACTTGGCTGTTGATCCTAGAGGCAGTGCAGAGCGGCACCGACTTGGGTTTCAGATCCCGCTCGACCCTTGCCAGCCAGCTGCCGAGCTGCTGTGTGGGGTCCTAGCCTGAAAGACAGGGTGGCTGAGGATGGGGTGCGGAGCACAGTGCAGAGCCGTGCTGGTGGTGTGATCCTCTGACGCCTCCCGGAGTGGGGGACAGAGGATGTGGAAATGGACAGGGAGAGGCATCCTGCCCTCCTTCCTTGAATTTTTCTGAAAAAAATGAGAGTTTGCAAGTGATTCTGGTTTTCCATTTAAAGTAGTGATTTAAAATCTTTTTAAATTAATGTGGTTTTGAAATTTTTTAAGGAATCTGAGTTCACCCAAAATGCTGTCTCCCAGCAACAGGCCTCCTTTGTCCCACCTTGTGGCTGCTTTCCTCCGTTTATGTGAGTGACAAGTGAAGGGAGGCACCTGCATTTTCTGACAGGACTTCAGCAGCTCTGTTCTGAAGAGGCGCCTCTGGTCGGGGTCGACATGCCCATGTAGCTGTGTCCCCACTGGAGTCTGGATCCTCACCCCAGCCCCGCTCACTTCTTCTCACGCCTTGTCCCCTCCAGCGCCCGCCTTTTCTGCTTTCTCTCGGGGGGCGAGGTCTGTCCTTCAGCCCAGTGGGCACTGTTTTTGACTGTTTGTTTTTGCTTTCTTGTGAAAGTTTTTATTTTGAAAAGATTTGAAACTCATAACTTACAAGATGGGGCTTACAAGAAAAGTTACAAGAATAGTACAGAAAATTCCCGAATATCCTTAACCCGGGGTCACCGCCTTTTAGGTTTTTACCATATTTGGCCTCTCTCTGTGTTTTTATCCACACACATGCTGTTTACTTTTTCTGAACCATTTGAGAGCAGGTTGTATGCACCATGCCCTTTACCCTTTAATATTTCCGCTTGTGTTTTCTAATAATGAGACTGTTCTCTCACGCTGTACAGTCATCACGTTCTGGAACTTCCAACGCTGATGCAACATGCTCTTCTAATCTGCAGGTCATGTTCCAGATTCAGCAGTTGTCCCAGTAATGCCTTGTCCTGTGGTTCAAGACCAGTGCAGGGTTGCATGTTGCACATGACATCACATGTCCTGTCTGTTAACCTCCTTCATCTGGAACTTTCCTAAGCCTTTGTCTTTCGTGACATTGATGTTTTTGAAGAATATAGGCCACTTGTTGTATAGAGTATTCCTAAAGTGGAGTCGAGGGATGTTCTCTGAAGATGGATGTTTCCTCCTGATCAGATGGAGGTTATGCATCTGCAGGGATGTTGAGTCCTTCTCGGGACATCGTTTTCGAGGCACATCACGTCCAGGTGACATTCATGTTGATGAACCGGGCAGCTGCGCGCAGCCCCTGTTGGTGGCTCCTTTGTAAGGGGCATCGATTCACCTGCACGGCACCACTTACGTCGTTTTTGGAAAATGTCTCTGACCGGTTGCCACAGTATAACTTGATATTCCTAGCCAATTAAGGGATCAGCTAGATTTTCTGCTTCACTGGGACTTTAAATGGTTTTCCACAATGAGCAAGAATTTTGCCAAAAAATGAAGAAGCTCCATATGCCAGAGGCAAGAAGATGGTATCCTAACAAATGGCTATTTCGGAAGGACCATTTCTGATTCCTACTTTAGCTGATAAAGCCTGAAATGATCTCTTCATCTACCCTGATTCTTCCACAGGTTGCTCCCCCATATAAACTTTTTTTAATTATTATTTTTTAAAAGAAGAAGAGGAGCCTTCCTCTGATCCTGCTTCCCCTTCTGCTGTCTCTCTCCCTCCACGCTTCTCAGAAGAGCAGCCTCCCCCACTGGGCCACTCCCCTGGACTCCAGCTGTCCTTCCTCTCTGCTGTAACTGCCCGTGCTCCCCTGGGCCTGGCCCCTCATGAGACTCTCCCCTCGGTTCCAGAGCCTTCCTCGCTCACGTCTCTCCAGCCTTTTCTCTGCTGCCCTGAGTGTGACCGTCCCCCAGGGTGTTACCCACTGTGTTTTACAGAATGCTTTTTCTCCTTGGCAGTTCTCCCTGCTTCCATAGATCCAAATATCTGATGCTTCCCAGCTCTGTGCTTTTAGTGGGACCTCTCCCAGAGTTCCAGTCACTAGCTGTCTGTTGGATGTCGGCCTTTGGTAGCATGTTCTGCTTTTCCTGAGTTGCTTCCAGTCAGTGGGACCACTATGCGCCCTCTGCCCCTACCCCCTGCCCCATGAACCCTAGACACACACGCACACGTACACTCGCATAAACACAAACAGCCGCTCACCTGTCGTCATCCATCAGGTCTCAGATTGGGCCTCACCTCTTCATCGTCACTGCCACTGTGGCCTCTCACCTGAATTGCTACAAAGGCCTCTGAGCAGCTTTCTCTGCCTCTGGGCTCTCTCCACCCTTCCATTCAACTTCCACACTGCCACCACAGCCATCTTTCTAGAACACCTCTCTAGAATATGTTATTCCCCTTCCTGAAAACTTCTTAGCACCCCCCCCCGACCCCCTACCATTGCCAAGGCAGGACAAAGGTCACTTGGTTTGTCTTAGGAGGTCAGCCTACTTTACAGTGTAGGCTCAAGTCACACGAATCCTCCTCTGTGAAGTGTCTGACCCTCTCAGAATGAATGAATTGCTCTCTTCTCTGTGTCCATTCCTATTGGATTATTTGTTCAGGTAGTATAGACAGTTCTGTGCGTGCTTCTACCACTCTAGACTGAGTACAAATGTGTCTAATTCATTCTTGGATCCACAACACCAAGTGCCTTGTACATAATAAGTGCTCAATAATTGTTGAGAGAGTATATGGGTAAATCATCATTGGCTGAATAAATGGATAAGAAGGGTCCTGAGACACCCCCAAGCAAGCTTTCCAGTCCTGTAGGGCAGCATTCTTGTTCTGGAGCTTCTTCCACCACTTCTGCCCCCACTTCCTACCTCTGATCAGTTTGGAAGAGTCTAGAGTTTACATCAAGGTGGGGCAAGAGTGTCTTGTGACATTCTTAAACCATCTCTTGCATTGCAAAGGAAGGTCCTGAAATACGGTGTAGTGGCAAGAGCACTAGCCTGCAGGTCAAGACCCAGGGTTTTGTCTCAAACTGGAGCAAATCACTTTATATCTCAGTTGTCCACTCTGACGTGAGAGGGTCTGTCAAACTCTGTGATTCTATTAAGAAACAAAGAAAAGCCCTACCAGTCACGGAGATTAAAAACGTCTAAGTAGCAAATGCAAAATGGAGGGCAAGTTAGTCGTAGTGTGGGGGAGGGCTTTTCATGGAAGGAGCAGAAGCTTCTGGACATGCGTGGGCACGTGCAAACACACACATGTGTACCCTCTGTTGGCTGAATTTCTAGAGAAAGCAATGATTTTGCATCCTATTGTCTCTAAGATTTGTTTAAGGGGAAGAAAGAAAGTTTCTTCTTCTGGAGGCACCTGAGAAAGGCACATACAGATCCGCTGAAAATCTCATTGAAGGCTACTCTCCTGACCTCTCTCTTGTTCTTCCAGATTGAGATGGCCCAGAAGCTGTTGAACTCCGACCTGGGTGAGCTCATCAACAAGATGAAGCTGGCCCAGCAGTATGTCATGACCAGCCTCCAACAGGAGTACAAAAAGCAAATGCTGACCGCTGCTCACGCCCTGGCCGTGGATGCCAAAAACTTACTCGATGTCATTGACCAGGCGAGACTGAGAGTGCTCGGGCAGACGAGACCGCACTGAGCCGCCCGAGGAGGATGTTCTCCAGCGTTCCACCAGCAGTGAGGAGCTAACCTGTCCTCGGACGCCAGCACTTACAGCACCAACTTTCTGACTGACAGCTGGTTGAAAATCTCTCTCATATAAGTTTAACCACATTTTGATTTGGGTTCAGTTTTTGTTTTGTTTTTTTAATCATGATATTCAGAAAAGTCCGGGATCCAAAATGTGGCATTTTTCTGGGAATGAGAATTGTACATGAGAAGCTTTTAAGAATCATGAAGAACAGATTATGTTCTCATTGGGATATGTTGTCATGGAGTGGGCCACGGTGGTGACCTGTTAGTTCCTGAACTGGCTTAGCTGCATATTGGAACAAGGGAGGATGAAGCGGAGAATCCCAGGAAACCCAAGGGGCTGGGAATTCTGTTGCCTCCCACGGAATTATTACCCAGACTGGAAGTTTTGTTGTTGTTAGAACACTCTTCAGTTGCAATATGCTAATCCCATTTTACAAAGAAAGAATATAAAAGCTATATTTTGAAAACTTGAGTCATTTCAGAAAAAATGACGACCCTTTCATCTTCCTGCCTTTGACTTTCATGTGGATCTGTGAAGCATTTGGTTGGAAACTAGCCGTAGAACACACTAAAACTTTTGTCTTTTTTCACCAGAATAATGTGCCAGTTTTTTGTAGCAATGTTATTTCTCTTGGAAGCAGAAATGCTTTGTCCCAGAGCACCTCCAAACTGCGTTGAGAAGAAGTTCTGGAACCATCCCTGTTTTCCATTTTTATATAATTTATAAAGAAAGATTAAAGCCATGTTGACTATTTTACAGCCACTGGAGTTAACTAACCCTTCATTGTGTGTCTTCCCAGGAGAGAATTAAGCAAAGCAGCGAGATTTGGTTTTCCTTGAATATCCAGTTATACCATCCATTCTGTTAAATAATTTTGAAAAATACACCCTCCCTTTAGTTTGTTGGGGGATATAAATTATTCTCAGGAAGAATATAATGAACTGTACAGTTACTTTGACCTATTAAAGAGGTGTTACCAGTGAAGTTCTTGCTGATCCATTCTTTTGGTTCTATTTCTTCAAACCATTTAAAATTTTTCAGATGACTTGTCAGATAACACAGGAAAGCTCTCAAATTATTAGTTTCTTTTCTTTGTCTTCTAGACAAGTCAAAGATATTACACAGAAGGACAGCCTGGTATATGTTAACCTTTTCATTTATAAAATGCAAAAAACAGGATAGGGATAGTGTCCATCTATGAAAGAACCCCCTTGGCAGTCCTGGTATTGCCGTAATCATTGCAGCCTCAAGCAGCTGTTCTGGGCCGGCCCCGTGGCTTAGCAGTTAACTGCAAGTGCTCCGCTACTGGCGGCCCGGGTTCAGATCCCGGGCGCGCACCGACGCACCGCTTCTCCGGCCATGCTGAGGCCGCATCCCACATACAGCAACTAGAAGGATGTGCAGCTATGACATACAACTATCTACTGGGGCTTTGGGGGAACAAAGGAGGAGGATTGGCAATAGATGTTAGCTCAGAGCTGGTCTTCTTCAGCAGAAAGAGGAGGATTAGCATGGATGTTAGCTCAGGGCTGATCTTCCTCACAAAAAAAAAAAGCAGCTGTTCTTACGAAGTTCACTTGTTAAGGGAATTGTTGGCGTTCAGTCTCCCAAACCAACCCTAATCTTGCTAGAATCTCTGAGCCGTGGAGCCGGAGCAGACAGAGCTGGGGTCTGCAGCACTGGGGAGGCTCTTGGAAGGAGAAGACCCAGGCGCAGAGCTCTGAGTGCAGGGATTTGCCGGCATGTCCTGCGGATGAGCCCATGTTCTCGTGTGTGCAAGATCAGGTCCCTCTGGCTGACGTTCATGTCATCTGAAAGAAAGGTCAAGGGCATGTCATCCTCCTGAGTTTTCTTACTCTCTGGCATTCTGTGGTCTCTGGAGTCTTAGTTTCCTCATCTTTACAGGGGTGATTGTGAAGATTAGATAAGATAAGGCTGAGGATTAAGTAAGAGGATAATGGGGAAGTGCTCTGTGTGTGTTGCCACGGGCTCGGCTGTCACGCTGTTCTGTGCACTGTAGCATGTTGAGCAGCATCCTGGTCTTTACCCCTAGAAGCCAGTGACACAGCTGTCTCCCAGCTGTGACAACCAAAATTGTCCCAGATGTTGCCCAGTGTCCCTGGGGGAAGGGGGACCACATCGCCCCAAGTTGAGAACCACTGCCTCAGAGTGACCATCTACTGAAATTAATACCCTTTGCCACCTGATGTGATTTTCCTCTAGTACAAAGAATTGCAGATAAGTCTCGCATGTCCGGTAAGTGTAAGAAAAGAAGTACATTTTGGTTGTAAGAGCAGGAGGAGACAGATAATGGACAGTGTCGTGTCAGCACTGGAGGACAGGCGGAGCTGGCCACCAGAGGCCACTGCCCATGGCGTGCTGGCTCAGTGGACTGAGGCACCATCAGAAGGACCTTGAGGTGACTCACCTGTATTATTCTGCAGATAACAACTACCTAATGAGGTGAAGCGTACATGCAGCATTTGAACACTTGTCCATATTAGATGTAAGAAGCCATAAAGAAAGGGAAGGTAAGCCTGTTCACAGCCTCACCCTCTATTTTTCTCAACTGCCTGGTTAACATTTTAATTGAAGAGTAATGTAAATAGAGAAAAAGAGCACGTAAACGTAGAGCCTATTGAATTTTTCACAAAAGAACGCGCTCTTGTAACTGGCACCCAGATTCAGCAGCAGAAGAGTACCAGCACCCCAGAAGTCCTCCTGGGACCCTCTCCCTAGTCACTCCTTCCCAGAAGAGTAACAACCACCCTGATTATCTTTTGTCAACTTTATTGAGATCTAGTTAACATACGGTAAGAACCCATTGAGCAAACATTCGATGACTTGCTTCGAAAGTATACGTCCAGTTCACAGTCGATGCAGTGCAGGAGAGCTCGCTGCTGTCACTTGGATGCCCACATCCCGCTCTGCAGTCAGTCCCCTCAGTTCAGATTGCTTGTAGAACTCTACTGTATGCACCCTCACTCAGTAATGTTGGGGAATATTCATGTTGCACGCATCAGAGTTCCTTCCTCCTCATTTCTAATGACATCCATGGTATGACTGCATCATCGCCCGTCTAGCTAGTCCCCTGTTCGTGAACGGAACATTTGAGTTGTTTTCGGTTTCTGGGTCTTGTGAATGAGGCTGCTGTGGACATTTATGTACAAATACGTTTCCATTTCTCACGGGCAAACTATGAGTGAAGTTTCTGGAACTTACGGTAAGTGTATGTTTAACTTTATTAAAAACTGCCAAACCAGGGGCTGGCCCGGTGGTGCAAGTGGTTAAGTGCACGCCCTCCGCTGCGGTGGCCCGGGGTTCTCCGGTTCGGGTCCTGGGCGCGCACCGATGTACCACTTGGCAAACCATGCTGTGGCGGCGTCCCATATAAAGTGGAGGAAGATGGGCACGGATGTTAGAACCCCAGGGCCAGTCTTCCTCAGCAAAAAAAAAGAGGAGGATTGGCAGATGTTAGCACAGGGCTGATCTTCCTCACAAAAAAAAAACTGCCAAACCATTTTTCAATGTGGTTATTTTACACTGTGACCAGCAGTGTATCAACCCCCCCAGTGCTCCCCCTTCTCACCAATACTTCGTATCGTCAGTCTTGTAATTTTAGACTTCCTAGTGGATGTGTGTGCCATCTCGTTTTAATTTGTGTTTCTTAATGATGTTGAGCATCTTTTCCTATAGTTATTGGCCACTTGTATATCTTTTCTGTGAAAGTGTCTGCTCAAATATTTTGCCCTTTTTTAAGTTGGACTGTTTATCATTCTGTTACTGAATGGTAGGGATTCCTTATGTATCCTTGGGCTTCCTTTGTCTTTTATGACATTGTATTTTTGAAGAATACAGGCCAGTTTTGTAAAATGACCCTATTTTGGGTTGCCTGATATTTCCTCATGATCAGATTCAGGGTTTGACCAGAATGTTACATGAGTGGTAATGTGAGCCAATTCAGTTTTCGTGATTCTTTTTATTCGTTCTACTTTTCCCCACCTTTGAGGATGATATGGTCAGTGATGTTCTTAAGTGAATGGGAAAGCTTGAGTGATGCCCTGAACAGCTTGTGGGTCTGAGTCTACTATGGAGAAGACAGAAGGGAGGCCATTTGGGATCTCACTGGACTCGCTTATTTACCATCACTAAATAAGGCAGTGGCTTTGCAGCAAGGGACTGCCCCCCCCCCCTCGCGGCAAGGACATTTTTAAACGGTTAAATGGACCCAGTAGTGCTGGCTTTCAGTTTTTCTTTGCTTTACAGATTCTCCTGGGTGATGTCGATGGCAGGAGGGACAACCAGTTACCTGGCACGCCCTTCAACAGAGTTTTCTTTACCAGTGTTTTTGTAACATGGTGTCGACTGCCCCTTCTCCCCTGTGCGTACATTCATGGGGCAGCTTGGCAGTGCATTGACTTTGGTGCCACCAAGCAGCCCTCTCAAATGTGCGATAACTTACTCAGGTGTGGGGTGCGCCCTTGATCAGCCATGTTGTAGCATGGGAACAAAATGCCGCGGTTCTGAAAATCCTTTGGGAGCCGTTCTTGGAGAAGAGTGGCCTCTGGAGGCACCACCAGGCGGGGTGGTCCAGGTCAGAGCCGAGGTGCGTAAGAAGACCTGGTGCCTGCGTGTCCACAGGCCGGGGCTGGGAAGTGCGGCTCCTCCCCAAGCAAGGAGCTTGTTACTGCTGTCACCAGTGGTCTTCAGTACCCACACAAGATTAGCACACACTTTAACTGACGTTTTGAAAAATGGGATGCCCCTCAGGGTGAGGGGAAATCCTGCTTTCCGAGCAAAATCTGCAGAAGGCGCAGGGCTTCACGCCCCATCCTGTGGGGAACCTCACTGTGTTGGCCTCGCCGTCCCCTCCTCTCTGTGACACAGGCCCTTCTGTGTGTGACTCTCCCTGCATCCTGACGAGCCGTGTAATGGGGCACACGCACGTAGTCACGGCGAACCTGCCTCAGCAGCGGTGTGAGCCACAGCCTTCACTGTTGAAAGGTAACCAACCCATCAAGTGTAAGACGCCGTTTACAGCTCTGGTTTACTATCTTAATGTCAGAGTCTTGAAGAACAAATGTGTTTATTTGCAGAGAAAACGAGAAAAAAATATGCAGGAGATTATATGGTGAGCACATGCTTCCTCTGTTTCTATCAATTTTAATTTCTTTAAGAATTTCTCAGAGATTTCTCAGTAATTACCTCACCCTAGTATTAGCCCAAGCCCCAAAGTCAATTAGGAATTTTAAAAATTATATTTTAGGTTGAGAAGAAAGAATGGTGCAATCACTGTTTATATTAAAAATTGCTCAGATACGTTTTAAAACCTCAGCCAGGAAGGAAGGAGCTGTGCGTGGCTGTGAAACTGGCAGCACTTCTGGCGTTACTCATTTATATCTGGCGTTACTCATTTATATCTGATTTTTTAAGGAATATAAATTCAAAAGAGATTTGCAGTATATTTTCACACTGTGATAAAACAAGAGAGAAAACATGGCTGACTTTTAAACAAAAATTCACAAAATTTGTCCATTCGTGATCAGAATATCAAGTGGATTTAGGGTTTTTTAATACAATTCTTTCATATTTATTTTCCCTTTTAAGACCTGTGAAATCAATGTCAACTTTCTTAATGCAAAGGGTTTCCTTAAAGCCTTTTAAGGACACTAACCACGAGTTTTTTTTTTAATAACTCAGCCACAGGAACTTCAAGGCCATTAAACTAAGATTATAGTTTCCCTTTTTTTCTTCATTTAAACTCTGTAAGACTTTTAGAGACAGGAAGAATCTATATTTTAAAAATGGAAATACTTCATTAATTTTTATTAATAGCATGATTGTTTTAACATATTTATGTATACATTTTATTTACTGCTCACTGGAGTACACTATTTAACCAAAGGATTTTAAATTTTGAGTACTTTTTTTCTTTCCATTTTAAGCAATCAGATATCACTTTTTCCAAGGAAAATCTATTA